TGAGATTTTACTTGGGTGTGATATTAATGATATTGTTAGATAATTTTCACATTCTGTTGGATCACTTTTTTTAGGAATGGACAAAAATATTAATCTCCTCCAGTCAACTTGCCAATTATCTGTTTTCCGAATTTCTTGGCATAGCTGTGTGGACATGTCTAGGGTAACATCTGTTATTGAAACACCTCACTTGCTATTCCTTGATTTTCTGGAAGCTTATTTTTTGCCAGTTCCTTGCATGTGGCTTGCTTCTTCTTTCAGTACCATTGGTTCTTGATCATATGCTGCTTAGAATGGTCCAAGATTCTTTATTCATTTCATCTTCTTTTGATGCTTCACGTACTATTCATTATTTTGTCCATAGAAACTGTTAGATTACAACTTGTGGCTTCAATTTGTCAGTTCTTTCAGCTTGAGAAATGTTATACATACTTTCCACCTTTAGCTTTCTAACTTATATCTTCACTCATTTCATTATAATAATTAACTTTGTTTCTTGAGCTACCCTTTGAATTCTTCTCTCCCCATTTCTTCCTTTTACTTTTGCTTCTCTGTATCCAACAACAAGTTTCAGAGTCCCCTCTGACATCCATTTTGGTCTTTTTTTTTGCCCAGTAGGGCTCTTACCCCCCCTCTCATTTTGATTCATTCCACATCACAAATGAAGATCTTTCATTAAGTAAAAGATTTACTCCATCTGCATCATTAAGATAGACTTTAAGGAAACAGGCTCTTCCCCATTTGTATTTTTAGCATCTTCCAGCTTGAGGTCCTTATCTTCCAGCAGTGTTCTACTTTGGTTTCAATGGCCCATTAATTCAGAAATGGATGGCCAGCTTTGCTTTCTCGTCTGTCTTAGTCTGGAAGCTCCACTGAAATCTATCCACTAGGAATAGATTTCATGGTATTTCATGTACTTTCAACATCACAGCAACACTGTGACAATCCATAGGATGACATACTGGAAGATGAGTGGTGGATTATTGTCATGGACGCTGGAACTGGATGAAACTTTAGAGAGAGCCATTCACTTAGAACTTCATGAAGCATCTTCTGTGTGCCGGTCACTGTGACAAGCACTAATGATACAACTGTGGACAGAACAGAGGAGGCCCCTGCTCACATGGTGCTTCTAAGGGTGCTTCTTCTATTGACATCAAACAAAAAAATTTAAAAGGTACTGCCAGGTACTGGTAAATGACACAAAGAAGTAAAACCAAGCAATAAGATAGAGACTTTTTTTATAATTTGGGCTATAAAGCCCTCTTTGGACTAAGACTCAATGATTCAAAGGAACCAGTCAGATTGGTTTTCAGTAAGTCACCTGTAATTCATGGCAGCCCTTTTGTGCCAGAGTAATCCAGGTGTACCAGCGCAGCAGCATAGGTTTTTCAATTACTGACTGATTTTTTCTAAGTAGGTCACCAGATCTTTCCTCCAAGATACCTCTGATATACTCCAACCTCTAATCTTTAATATCAGATAATTGTTTTTACTTAGGTTAGCAATCAAGTACATAACCATTTATATCACTAGAATTCTTCATAGGAACAAGATATATAGAAGTCAGATGGATACTCTGAAATCTTTATTTTTAAAATTGTATTATATAAATTTGTATGTGTTGTATTAAAATAATATATAAACATATTTTAAGTGTTTCTTTTTAGTATGACAAAAAAAGCTTGAAATATTGTGAGAATTACCTAAATGTGACAGAGACACGATATAAGCATGTGCCCTTGGAAAAATGTCACCAATAGACTTGCTTCACACAGGGCTTGCATAAACCTTCAATTTCATACACACACCCTGAATATTTCCAAAGTGCAGTAAAAAGAAGAGCAAGAAAACGAGATACGGCTGTCTACTGGGTCTCGTTTTGAATCCTGTTCCCTGCCATTCTGAAAAGAAGCAACTCCACAGCATAGCAGTATCTGACTTATACTTTTTCCAAACCTCCAAGAACAGAGATGAGAAAATAAAAGCCCACAAGGTTTCTGTTGACATTTGAATTTAGGAGTCCAGCTGCTTCTGCTTCCAATTCCCAAAAGTGAACTTCATCTCTCTTTTCCTAACCTGTCAGCCTCTCACCTTAAAATCAGGCATGCTAAACATCACATGCTGTCAATTTTCTGTCCTTTTTCAAATTTGTCCTTCAGAAATGGTTTCCTCTTATGCCGGAAATTTAGGTTATTTTCAGCTGAGTCCTATGCTGTTGTGCATGTCTGAATAGACCAACTTGATTCCTGCAGAAATGGAAATCGATAGTGAATTTCATAAACAGTGTGGCAGGCTAATGTCGTGGAAAAAGCATGCAAAATTTTTCATTTGGAATATGGAAAAGTATTAAGCCAGGGCATACGGTTTTCTGTAAACATAAATGATTAAAATAATCATTAATTGGCTGCGAAAAAATCACTATCAAGAAGAAAATGTTAGGTGTTTTAGAGCAAAATTGAAAAGTACACAAGCACTAGACAAGGATTTAAGATCATTTCCAATTAAATTGCAAATATCAGTATTTAGGCCAATCTTGATTTTATTTCTTCTTCTTTCAGTAAAGATCTTACCTTTCTTGTTTCTATTAAAAGTTGAGTGTCAAAAAGCTTCAACCCTTGGCCTGTGTGCAATTTTTCATCTCCTGCTTCTCTTTCTGCTGAAAATATTAATTGGCTTGCTGGTCAGCTCTAATTACCCCAGGGAAAGAATTTGATTTATGCCTATATTCTGCTGTCCGCTAGCAAAAGATCCCTAAGTGCTTCTTGCTTGATAAAGTACCACTTTCTCAGCCAGCCTTTTTTTTTTTTTTTTGTCTCTACACCACCTGGCTTCATTTTGACCAGAATAAAGAAGAGTGTGGCAGCACAGCTGGTTTTACAATAAACCACCTTAACTAACTTTTTCTAACGAGATTTGTCTCAACTTGACCCTCTTCTTTTACAAAGTTCCCTCCCCTCAGAAACTAATGTTGGTGTAGAAGTTTAGTCATGGTCAAGAAATAAGTGCTAGCATGTCTCAGATGTGATTTCTCTCACCAGAGTGATAGGACAGATATGTTTGTACTCAGTCATCCAAAGTATGTTTCACTGTAGGTCAAATGGAGGTGCTGCTGGAGGCTAGGAAGGCTATCCCAAGGGCCCAGGGGACTCAGGAAAGCCAGGATAGTGATGCTATCTGGGTGCTCTAACCACCCTGAGAAAGGGAGACGCAGGCCTTTGCCAGCATGAGGAGAGAACACATACTGAATGTATGTTTCCTAGGGTGACCATAACAAAGTACCACAAGCTGGGTGGCTTAAAAACAAAAAATGTATTGGTCTACAATTCTAGAGGCTTGAAATACAAAATCAAGGGGCCAGCAGGGCTGTACTCCCTCTGAAGGTTCTAGGGGGATTCCTTTGATGTCTCTTCCTAGCTTCTGTTGGCCTCTTGCAGTCCTTAGTGTTCCATGGTTTGTAGCTGCACCTCTCTTGTCTTTGCCTCTATTGTCGAGGACTGTCTTCTCTGTGTCTCTGTGCATCCTTTCTTTCCTGTTCTTATAAGGACACCAGTCATTGAATTAAGGACACACTATAATCCAATAAGGGAGCTCTAGTGGCATGGTCCGTAGGAAGGGACTCTTGGTAACCCAAAAGCCAAGCCTCTCTGGTGGTTCGAATCCACCAGCAGCTCCACAGGAGAAAGATGGGCAATCTCCTTCCATGAGATTTACAGCTTCCAATCCCACATGAGAGTCTGTGAGTTGGTCAGTTCTAACTTGACATCATTGAGTAAATTTTAATCCAATATGACCTCATTTTAAATTAACTAATTATATCCACCAAGACCCTATTTAACAATTCAGGTCACATTCTCAGGTTTCAGGTGGGCATACATGAATTTGGGGGAAAACACTATTCCCCCTATTCTAGTGAGTGTTTCAAAAATAGTTGAATGCACATGGAAAGTTTTTTAGGTGTGAATCACAGGTAAAGAACAGACTGGGAGAGGTGTTCATACTAGTTTCCAACTTACAGTCCCTCCCTTGAAGGGAGACGGTTATGGTTACAAAAATAGTGACAACTATAATAATGCTTTCTGTGTACCATTCTGATGTAGAAGCTGTTGTTATTATCCCATATTACAGATGAGGAAACAGCCATATAAGGACTAAATAAAATGCCCACAACCAAAAGGAAACTTAGCCAAGACCCGGGTCAAGGCGTCTGACCATAGAGTCAATACTCTGAATTTCTGTACTATTGTCTTTTGCATTAGAATCCTTTCCAAATGTGCTTGACCAAAACAAGACAGGCAGCAGCACAGTGGCTCCCACAGGCAGTTTTCTTGTAAGCAAAAGAATATGCTGCTTGACCCTGGTTCACATTAAATGTGGCCGCTGGCCAGGAGAGTGAAGGAACTTCTGTAATTTGTGTCAGTGTCTTAAAAGGATTCTAAGCCTTTGAATAAAGGGCCTTTTGTGGTCAGATTATTGCCCTGTTGTCCTATAGCACATGAATTTTTGTGTTTTCAGGAATGAGGGAAGTATTACATTTAAATTCTTGGAACCTTCAAAGGCAGGATTATGTGCAATGGATCTTACGAAGTCAACAAGTCAGGCATGTCCCCTAGCTGCCCTCGTCTTCTCTGGTCACCTTTTTCTAGCACCTCATGACTAGGTTACCAACCATCCCAATTTGCCCGGGACTGAAAGGTTTTCCAGATGTGGGAATGTTCAGTTCTAAACATAAACAGTCCTGGACAAACTGGAATGAGTTGTTCCTGGCACACCATTTCCAAGCCCCATGCTGTTGAGAAATGCCGTGTCACAGAAGTGAGCTCCAGCAGTGCCCACAGGCACAGAGCAGACGGTCTGTTTTGGTTGTCACTGTACATGTTCAATTATTCAAATGCTTTCTTAATTCCAGCCAGAAAGAAGGTATGTGGAAGTAGGTGGGACAATGGCAAGACCAGGTGGGAATGGTGGGGTTTCTTAGAATGCTGCTTTCTGTCTTACAGGAGAAGAGGAGGAGGAGGAGCCAGAGATGCCTGTGGGCCCCCGTCCCCGCCCGCTGTCTGAGCTGCACCTTAAGGAAAAGGCCGTGCCCATGCCCGAAGCCAGTGCGTTTTTCATCTTCAGCCCCAACAACAGGTGTGCGAGAACAGCAAAAGATGGGATCTTGACACAGTCTAATAGGCACCTGTATTTCACTTGAATGAAATGAAGGATGGAGCCTGGAATCCCTCTACCCCCCTGAAAGCTTGTGTTATAGGCACAATGTTGGGAGAAAGAGTCTTGGGTTCTACGTCAGAAGACCTGCCTTTATTTTTATATCTTGATTTTTTTCTGATGTTTGTAATCTCTCAGTTACTTTGGTCATTACCTTTAATATTATTTTTATTGTAATGAAGAATTGTTAATGTTGTATACTGTAGAGAACATAACTGACCCACAGCTGACTCTCCAGTGGGCTTTCACAGGCAATAATTTCATGAGAGGCCACTGCCCATCTTTCTCCCGTGGAGCAGATAGTGGCCTCGAACTGCATGTCTTTGGGATTACAGCACAATTTTTTGCCACTAGGCCACCACTTTATGTAATAAAGAATGAATAACTTAAATTTTACCATTATAAGTATACAATTCAACAATGTTAACTACCTGCACAATATTTGCAACAATCACCAATATTTCCAAACTACTTCTTGGTATATTCCTAATGGCCTAGTGGTAAGAAGCTGTGCTGCAGCCTCGAAGGCTTCACATTCAAATCCACCAGCTACTCCCGCGGGAGAAGAATGGACACTCACCTCCCATGCAATTAGATTACCTGCCTATGAAAACCTGCTGGAGGGTCAGTTTGGGTCAGTTTCAGCTCAGTGTGATGCAACAACAAAGTTAAGCAATAGAGTTCTGTTGGGACAGTCCATAAACTCCCTATGGTGGTTCAAATCCATCAGCTGTTCCAGGGGAAAAATATGGATATTCTCCTCCTCTGTAATTTACAAACCTGTGAAAACACATGAATCAGTTTTGACTCAATAGCAAAGACTGTTGAGTTTCCCTTGAACAGAAAGGAGATTTCAAATACTTTTCTCTTACAAACATTACAATTCAACTCATTGCTGTTCATTTGGAACTGACTCATAGCTGACCCTCCAGTGGATTTTCAGAGGCTGTGAATCACACAGGAGGAGATTGCCCATCTCTCTTGCCCTGAGTTGCTGGTGGACCCAAAGAGGTGACACCTTTGGGTTAGAGATGCAACTCCCTGTGGACTATGCCACCAAAGCTCCTTTCAACAGAAGGACATGTTTCGCTTCCTTTTACTTCCCTGTTGCTTGTTGATTAATATTTTAAGCCCAACCTTTATTTTCAGTTCCATGAGTTAGGCACTATTTTTTAAACATTTTTCACTCATTTAGGTACCACTAAGTTGGCTTTGACACATAGCAGCTCTGTGTACAGCAGAATACAACACTGCCAAATCCTGCACCATCCTAACGGTCATTGTTGTATGTCAACCCATTGTTACAGCCACCTTGTCAGTCCAGCTCAGGGAGAGACTTCCACTTTTTGACTGACCTTCTATTTACCAAGTGTAGTGTCCTTCTTCAAGGAGTGGCCCTTGAAGATAATATGCTCAAAGTATGTGAGATGAAGTCTCACCGTCCTTGCTACTAAGGAACATTCTGGCTGCATTTCTTTCAAGACAGATTTGTTTCTTTAACCATCCATGGTATATTCAATATTCTTCACCAACATTAAATCCAAAGACATCAATTCTTTAGTTTCTTATTCATTGTCCAGATTGCACATGCAGATAAGATGATTAAAAATACTTTGACTTGGAGCAAACACACCATAGTCTTCAAAGTGACAGTTTTGCTCTTTGGTGCTTTAAAGAGGCCCTTGGCAGCACTTTTGCCCAATACAATACATTGTTTGATTTCTCAGCTGCTGTTCCATGTATAATTTTTGGATCCAAGTAAAATGAAACCCTTAATAACTCCAATCTCTTCTTCTTTTATAATGATATTGTTTATTGATCTAGTTGTGAGTATTTTTGTTTACTCTGAGTTATAATCCAAACTGAAGGTTATAGTATTTAAGCTTCATCAGTACCAAAAATCTCCTTTGTTTTCAGCAAGCAAGGTTGTTTCAGCTGCATATTACAGAGTATTACTTGATCTTCCTCCAATCCTGATTCCACATTTGCTCATTGTACAGATGAAATAAGAACGGTAAAAGGATATAACCCTGCCACACACCTTTCCTGGTTTAATATGCTGTAGACCTTTATTCTGTATCTGCTTCTTAGTATCTGGACTGGTTCTGCACAGACACAATTAAGTGTAGTAGATTTTCCTTTCTTCAGAAAGTTAACCATAATTTATTCTCTTCTACACAGTTGAACGCCTTTGCATCGTTAATAAAACATAGATACACATCTTTCTGATAATCTCTGATTTCCACAAAGATCCATCTTTTGTCAGCAGTGATATTCCTCATTCCACAGCCTCTTTTGAATCCAGCTTGAATTTCTGACAGGACCCATCAATGTTCTACTCTGGCTATTTTTAAATAATCTGCAGAAATGTAATTAATTGCATGTGGTATTAATTACAGTCTTTAATAACTTCCAAATTCCATTATATCTTTTTCTAATGGGCACACTTATGAATCTCTTCCAGTTGGTTGGCTAGGTCTTCCAAACTGCTTGGCATAACAAGGGAATATGCCGATGGCTGCATCCATTTCTTGAAATACCTCAATTGGTATTTAATGGATTCCTAGAGCTTTCTTTTTCAACACTGTATTCAATGCATTTTGTGCTTCTTCCTTTTTAGTACCACTGGTTCTTGATTCTATGCGATTTCTGAAACGGTTGAGGGTCAACCACTTCTTTCTGGTATAGTGACTCTAGGCATACATTCTTTCTGTCTTTTTGGGGGGTTTCCTCCATTGTTCAGTGTTTTCCCCCATAGAATCCTTCAGTATTTCATCTCAAGACTTGAATTTATTCTTTGATTCTTTCTGTATAAGAAATGCTGAGCATGTTTTTCCTTTATTTTTTTAACTCCATGTCTTCACACATTTCGCAATAATATTTTGCTTTGTCTTCTCACATTGCCCTTTTAAATCTCCTGTTCAGCTCTCTCCATAATTTCTTCATTTTGCTTTCAGTTGTTTACATTATAGAGTATGTTTTTGAGACTTTTCTGATATCTGTTTTGATTTTGGGTTTGTTTGGTTTTTTTGTGTTTTTTTTGTCTTTTCAATCATAATGTCCTTAATATCATCCCACAATTCTTCTGGTCTTCAGTCATTGATGTTCAGTGCATCAAATCTGTTCTTGAGATAGTCCCTAAATTCAGGAGGGATATAATCAAGGTCATATTATGGCTATTATGAACTTATTCCATTTTCTTCCTGTTCCACTTGAACTTGCATACGAGCACTTGATGGTCTGTTTGAGAGTCATCCCTCAGGCTTGTTCTGACTAATGAGATTGAGCTTCTCCACCATTTCTTTCTACAGGCATAATCAGTTGATGCTGAAGTAGTCCATTCCTGTAGTAGCCATTTATGTTTTGTAAAGATATCTGTAATGAGTATATCATTGGTTGTACAAAATTCTATCATGTGATGTCTGACTTCGTTTCTATCAGCAATGCAGTTTCCAACCACCAGTCCTTTTTTGTTTCTAACTTTTGCATTTCAATCACCAGTACATCTTGATTGCACGTTCAATCAATTCCAATGGGCTGCAAAAATTAGGCAAAAAGTAGGCAATATCTTCATCTTTGGTTTTAGTAGTCAGTAGGTAAATTTGAATAATAGTCATATTAACAGATCTTCTTTGTTATGGATATTATCCATATTATAAACATTATATATTTTAATTTACGTACAACTTACCATTTTGTTTATTCACTACTTGTTGTGCTTTCCAGTCCATTCTTCCGCAGTTATTTTCTTTCCCTACATGATAAACTGAGCTCATGTTTGTTTATCTATAGTTGCTTTTATTTTTTATTCTTGAGAGATAGTTTTGCTTAGTGCAATTTAGGCTAACAATTTTTGTCTCTTAAGACATTAAAAGTATTATTGCACTGTAAAGTCAACCATCATTGTAACTATTTTTCCTTTGCAGAGTACCTGGCTGCTGTGTCTAACTGCTTTCATTATCTCCTATTGCTTTTAATATTGTGCAGGTTTATTACTATATATAGAGGCCTGGGTTTCTATTTCTCTTGTTTAAATATATTTGCTTTCTACATCTATGGATATTCATACTTTTCTTCAGTTCTTGAAAATTTACAGCCATAATCTCTTCAAATAATATCTTTATTTCATCTTCTCTTCTCTTTCCCTCTGGCATTCCAATCAAGGAACCCTGGTAGTATAGTATATAACATATCAGACTGAAAGATCAGCAGTTCAAATCCACCAATCACTCTGAGGCATGAAGATGGTCAGTCTGCTGCCATGAAGATTTATAGTCTCAGAAACCTGAAGAGGTGTCTGAGTCAGAGCCAACTTAGCAGCAGTGGGTCGGGCACTCCAATCAGATAGATACATGTTACGTGTCCTTATTCTGTTCTTCCTCTCTTAATATGCCTTGCATATCTTCCATTGCCTCATTTTTCTTTTATTATTCTGGATAATATCTTCCAATTTCTTTATTCTCTTTTCACCTTTATCTAACTTACTATTTAACCCAGTTATTTGTATCCATCATTATAGTTTTTTCATTCAGGCTTTTCCATTTCTTGCTAGATTTTCCACATTTGTGTGTCTATGTCTAAGAGTTTGTTGTTAATGCATCATCTTGATGATAGAATGTTTGTTTTATTAATTATTTGAAATATATTTTATGTATGAGAATTCTACAGTCCTTTGAGGTTTAAATCACTTTGTTGTTTCTGCTGATTTTTCATCTTAGTGTCTTGCCCTTTTGTGTGTTTGATGATCTTTTATTGTAGCCTTTTAAACTTCTTCATTACTGGGAATCTTGTGCTATAAATTGGAATTAAGGACATTTTCTTCTGAATACCCTTTAAAGGCATTCCTCAGTCTAGGGATGCCTGGTTCTCTTGTCCTTCTTCCAGACTGACCTGAGCTCCCATTTCCTGACAGCAGTGCCCCTACTGTGTTCATCCCCAGGCCATTCTGCCCTTCCTGACTGTCCACTACACAAACTCCAGCTCCTTCAGCCGGTTTGTTGTCCTTGCAGATCTTCCTACCACTCACTGAACCAGAGTAATCTCAGTCACTCTCCTTTGCAGGACTGTGTAGGCATCTGCAGTGAAAGAGTCCCTCCAAGCACTTAGCCACACACCACAAGCAGAACCTGAAGGCCTGGAATTAAACCGTGACTGCCTCACTCTGCAGTTGTGTTTCTGGGCATGGCACCACTCTTTTACTATGACATGAAAATAACTTCTGTATCTCCCCTTCTAAGCTCTCATAAAGATTAAATGAGATGATATTTGAGATACCCTTTGAATTCTAAAATTCCTACTATGTGTGACACTCTTAATGAGTTCCCAGAAGTCTATCTGTGTAATTCTTTGTGTTTATGCTGAGATATGCAATTGAACTGCATACCTCCAAACTCCTTCACAGACTCAAACTTACCTAGAGAATATCTGTAGCTAGCGAGTCTCTTGGCAGCCATATCTCTGGGTACCTCTGTTATTCTCTAGACATAAAAATATGAAGTAGATCTCATAAAGTAATTTTTTAAAATAAGAGAGAAAAGAAATCCCCAAAGCCAATTGTTAATGTCACGGCAGTACTCGTGAATTTAGAGATTCCCAAAGGTCTCAGATGTAACTCTCTAAAATGTCAAAAGTTTCCTGCTTATAAAATGGCTTTGGAACTACAGCGTTCTATAGAGAGAGGTGGTGTGCTGGCGCTGCTGGGGTTGGTACTGTGAGGATGGTGGTAATGGGGATTGTCATAGGGTGCCATTACCCAGCAGCAAGACTTCAGGTTGAAGTGGCTACTCCAAAACCAGAAATTGCCTTTGCAAGCTGATGAAGGGGGCTAAGGAGACCTGAGTCTGGCTCCCGAGACCTGGAAAGCTGTTCGCTTTTGTTGTTCCTGACACGTCTCTCTCCTCCTCACCGTGCAGGTTCCGCCTCCAATGTCACCGCATTGTCAATGACTCGATCTTCACCAACCTGATTCTCTTCTTCATTCTACTCAGCAGCATTTCCCTGGCTGCTGAGGACCCTGTCCAGCACACGTCCTTCAGGAACCATGTACGTATCCCCTTTTGTTCCCTGCACCCTTTCCCTCTGGGAATGTAGCTCGGCTCACGCCTTCTGTTGCTTATGCTATTGTTCAATCAGGAGCCCAAGTCCCAAGTGGGAAATGAGATGTGCAGTAAGCATTGTAAGAAATTAAGACTTTTAAAAAACTATCTGAGGACCAGAAGAAGCAAGTAAGAGGGCATGAACCCTCTTATTCATACCTTGGGCTGGTCTGATAATTGGCAAAGATCAGGAGTCCTCTGGATGCTCCCTGGATGCCTGACTCCCTATAAACCTAATAAAATGTAGAAACTAATTCTTGAACCCCTCCCTGCTCACTGACCAGACGTTACCCACATCCTGGCCAGTCCTAATAACTAGGGAGAAGTGAGAGCATTGGCAAATAGGTGCCAGTGATAAGGCTTACTTTGTATAAAAAAGAGCCAGCCTTGGTAATTGTAGAATAGAAAACTAAATTTGGATACATCCCCAAGTCTCTGGTGAATGGTATTTGAATAAGAATTAATAGATATTTGCTATATACCTTGAAGCCTCAGGTAGGATGAGAGAAAAGCTCATCCATCTAAAGTCACACCCCTGCCAAGCCATTTGGTGGATCCTGGAGCCTCTTGACCCAGGACTTCCCTTGTGAAGATTAACAGGGGGTGTTGGCCATTGCTCTGACCGTCACCTGAATCCTAATGAAGCATGAGCCCTTAGCCGATGCTGCACCTGAGTGTGCCTCACCTGGAGCATGTCCCCTCCATGCCCGGAAGTGACCTCACCAGTGGAGATGTCCACAGACACCAGAAGCTGGCTGAATCTCACTTAGCTAGCAAAGTGATCTAAGCATTTTGCAGCTTCCTAAAGGAAAAGGAGGGAAAACCCAACAGAAAAAAATCACTGCTCTGGCCCTTTGACAGGCACCCCAGTGGTTTGATTGGGGTTTATAAATAAATTGGACTCATGAGACAAACATCCAGCCCCGTATCAGCCAACGTCTGCATGGCAAGGCTCATGTATCTGGGGAGTTCATCCAAAGCACTGAGCTGAGGCTGGCCGGGCTTCAGGATTTGATGTGGGTCTGTACCGCTGGTGTCCTAACTCGTTCCTATCCAGCTGTATGTGGAAATTCTTGAGTGCCCTGCATTTTGGTTTTTGAAGTGTGGTTTCTGTTCTGGTGAACAACCACTGGCCTCTCCTCCATCCTCCTGTCTTCCCTTCCCTTGCTCACCCTCACCTGTTCCTTTTGTTTTGCAGATTCTGTTTTATTTTGATATTGTTTTTACTACCATTTTCACCATTGAAATTGCTCTGAAGGTAAAGCCCCCACCACCACCACCCTCTCTGGCTCTCTGCTGCTGTCTGTCGCTAACACACATTCTCCTGTCAGTGTCCGGTTCACTCTCAGAGTCACTAATCCAGTTGTGCTTATTTTTCAGATCCTAGGCAATGCAGACTATGTCTTCACTAGTATCTTTACATTAGAAATTATCCTTAAGGTAATGCATCTGAGCAACGCTTTCTCTGTCTCTACCTGGCCGTCCCTTTTCTCTCTTCTACTTCTCTTATGCTCTGCTTTTACTCTCCAGCCTGGAATTGGAAAGATTTGGTACCCTTCCTTTGTGTTACACACTTTGTTCAGATGCAGAAGCTATAGGTTCCTCCAGAAGAAGCCTACCGCACTGCAGCTTCTCTTCTCTGACCACCATTAGACAGTTTTTGGCCTTAAAGAAACCCATGATCGCCAGTGTTAACACTGATGCAAGCATGTCAGTGAGGTTGGCACCACATACATCATTCAGCATTACCTTGGTATACCAGCTCACTCCCACATTCACACTTACACACAAACATCTACAGTTAACTGATGACTTGGCTCTTCCTGCCCAGAAGAAATGCCATGCAAACTTCAAAAGTAGCAATATTCTTGGGACCTCACGGAATCTCATCTTCAGCCCTCTCTGCATACCCGGGTCTCTTCCCACCTCCATAGATCTAGTAGTAGATATCAGGGTTAAACTGCACCTAAGTCTCTGTCATAGCATCCATGAGCCTGATGCAAATTTAGTCAATCTCCCAACTCTGGGCTTTCAGCAGACAAATACATATGAATTCTGAGCCCTTGGTTGCCCACTGAAAAACTGTCATTTGGTACAATGCCTTTTGCCCTGAGGATGGAAGATAGAGGATTGTGCAGGACAGCTAATAAGTTCTGCGGAAAACCTGAGTGCCTAGGCCCCCAGCCTTGGACAGCCCTGGCTGCTGCTGACCTGACTCTGGGTAATGGCAGCTCTCTTTATTGAAGTGCTGGGAAACTGTTGTCCTAAAAACAGATCGAGCCCCTCTGAGTAGCACATAGATGAAAGAGATCATTTCTAGGTCTATCCATAATACCTTCGAGCCTTTAACTCAATGCATCCCCCAGCCAGTTCATCCGAGACTCAGAGTTTAAGTTCAGAGACCTTGGGAAGTGTGCACGTCAACACATGTTCTCATCTCAGAATAAGGAAAGATATTTGTCTCATATCCTGAACAGAAGTAGCATAGACTCGAGGGCCTGCTTTGGCTTCAGTCCTTTACTCCTGGAAGACATGCCAAGAACTTTTCCTACAAAGGAATGCAAAGTTCTTTTCTTTATTCTCCTCATCCCTGAGACTGATAGAAGCCGGATGTCAGCACCTAACCCTTTCTTGATAAAATTCCCAAGTCATAAACTAACCCTTTGATTACTGACCAGAAAGCCAACCCCACTTCCCTCGAGTTGATTCCAGCTCATGGTGACCCTCCATTGTATTCCTAAGGCTCGCAATCTTTATGAGCTTTCTCTCATGGGACAGCTGATATATTCAACCCATTAACCTTTTGGTTAGTATGCAGTCTGCCCCCACATCTCTTTAGATGCCTGAAGGATCTTTCATATCCAGCCGCAGCTTGAGTAGGGTGGTGTTTGTGTGTTAGACACCAAGGAACCCCTTTGTACACACACGTACCTTCTGTTCCTGGTTTCTGTTAACAAAGACTCTCCCTCAGGAGAGGAAGAACAGGCCCACTTCCTGAGAATGGGGCACAGAGAATTACCAGGCATATGGCTACGTTAGAATGCACTGCTGTAAAAGCTCTTTCCTGGAGAGCCGTGTTTGGATTTGGTTTTTGTTTTGCTGGACTTCAGACTCAGGGAGACACGCAGGTCCCATATTCTTTCTCAGGGTGAGGAAAGCTTTGAGTGCAATTCTCATTCCTCCTTGACAGAGTTCCCTTGTGGATTTCAGTGATGCTGTTTTACCTTCAAGATTGCCATACAAGTGGAAGTAAAAAAATGTCTTCGCAGACGCTGTGATGGCAAGACCCTTGGCTCCCCTTCTAGCCTTTTCCTTTCTCTTATGCTCATGCGCTCCGGACTATTAACCCCAGTCTTTTGTTTACTTCCCTGCACCTCCTTCCATCTGGGTGCCTCTGCCTCCACAAAGGCCCATTCCTGAGCCATGACAGAGACAGTGATAGCTGCCAACGGGGCCACTTGAAGGGCCTGAGGCTGTTGGACTTTAACAAGAAAAGGCTTTAGAGACCACAGAACAGGAGTCCAGTGTCAGAAGAACACTTAGCTCTCTGATCCCCATTAAGACCACCTAAACAAGGAAATTTGTTTCTCTCAAATGAGGAATGAGGCCCTGCTGGAGCTCACTTGAGGCCTTTGAAGATGTAAGTTAGGATCAAGGAGAGAAGAAATTCTAGATTAGAAGTGAGATGGTTTGGGAAGGCAGCGTGCCTTCTGGAGGTGCAGAAGGCGCTTTGGTTTGCATGGACTGCAGGAGCTGCTCTAGCCCAGGCTCTGGGGGCCC